TCTTTAATGTCAAAGTCCCCATAGTTCAGAAGGCCAACTATTTAGGCGTCACTCTCAATAGCAAGTCCACTTGGAGTTATCACATAAATAAAGTACGAGGCAAAGCCCTCTCCACTATGAAAAATCTATTTCCGCTAATAGGAAAATTTTCTAAACTAGATCTTCTAAGAAAAAGGCATGTTTACACAGCCATTATAAGGCCTATTATTACTTATGCCTCGCCTGCCTGGGAAGCGGTCACTAATAAAGATCTAAACAGACTTCAGATCATACAAAATAAGTACTTACGGCTTATTACTCAAGCTCACTTCTATGTATCCAACGACACTCTGCAATAATGATTTAAAAGCTGAGCGTATAGAGAAATTAAATAATGTTCATCCATCGTATGAACAAAAAGTACTTTACAAAGGCGAAACTCTGCTCCCATTTAAATGGTTTTAATACATTCGACTATATTATTTTCCTGAGGATGCAAATATTAGTCCTTACGCGGCCCACCTCACCTGTGATTCAAATTTTCCAACTTAATTGCACTTTTGTATATATGTGTAAATAGTTTGTATTTTCCACATTTATCCTTAACTTCTAATTTTACTGTATTCATTTATTCTTAGTAAACAAAAAAGTTTGTATACCTATATTTTATTCCTATGTATGTTTTTGATAACATCGGTCAGATTCCCTTACGCTTGTTAAGCCCTATACTGGTTTTCGGTCTCATGTTTTGTTTTCTATAACCTTGTGGTGCATGGTCACCCCTCTTCACCTCAGACCTCCTCTTACCCGTCTGACTGTTATGTCATGTACCCACACGGCAGAATTATCAGTGAGTCGGCAACATCGCACATATTAGCGATAGCCCGGCAATACATGTATTGATTCATTGATTGAACCATGAATGTTGCAAAATTAGCGTCAATGCTGTGTTAGTTTTAGTACTCACTAGGTTGCAGTAGCAGACAGCCCGCAGCATTACACATTTGCAAAGAAGTCCGTTACAGTTATTGTTTTCAATAATGTTCTTTTAGTTGTATAAAATTATACTGCTTTAGATCCATACCTTGTATGTTGCTTCCATAAATAGGAAATTTCTAAATAAAAAGCTCAAAAAGCTAAGGGGGAAGACGCACGGAAGGGGGTAAAATATGCCAGTACCTACAATAATTTCAATGATGTGGATAAGATGTGATGATATATCACATCAGTATGATGTAGATACCACGTGATTTCCTTGCATGGCCTATTAAATTATGCACATTTTTTGCTGCATTTCATTTAAACTTATTACCCGAATTTCATTAGAGATATATTTCTCATTCAATAAATTCAGTTCGCGCTTGGCGGTAAGGAAAAGATACATAAAAACTCAAAACATCTGTATTAAAAATTGTAAAATACAGAAAAGCCTAAAATACTAAATAGAGTTGAAAATCGTTAAAAAAAATTTTTACAATCAAAATTAGAGTTTAAATTAATTAAAATTAGGCAGAAAGATAGATTGTTCGGTGCTCAAAACTTTTGTCCCCACTCGGCAAAAAGACACTGAAGTTGGCGCAGAAACTGAGATAATTCACTGTGCTACTAAGTTTCAAATGTAAACAAATGGTGTCGTGATTAGGCTTAGGCAAAATTAAATGAATAAGAAATAAAACAATAAATAGAAAGGATAAAACAATAATAAAATTTGAAAGCTTTTAAATTATATTACACTCAAACTGGCGGTTTCCCCCCAATTTACAGCCACATACACATTTTGAGACCATTTGGGCAATCACACATTGAAATAAAAATTTAATAACAGACATACATTTAGAATTTCCGATAGACTGTCTTGCGCGCTGGAGATAAAAATGTTTTCTTTTGTACAACGTTGCCATTGCTCGCTTTGAAATCCCTGTTCTTTAATAAAAAATTCGTTAAAATTTTACAAAATATTAAACAGACAATGAAACAAATTCGGGCTTCTAGGTGCCCATGTACCAGTGGACTACGCTATTCAAAATTTGATGACTCTACGTAACGTTGTTTTTCCACAGTGCTAGAAACATACATACTTTCATGTAGATGCTTCATTGCTGAGTTTTTTTAAATGTAATGTTTGGTGGCAACAATTTCAACGGTTATTCAGCCGTTTATTCGAAGCCATATGCCGTTTCGAGACTAATAGCCTTTCTGGACTAACGAGTGTCACAAGTTTCCTTCTAGATTTTTTACTAATAACAGTCATGATTATATAACCTTAATAATATAAAATTAAATGCATTTATTTTAGAATGAGATAAAATTTTACATTTTTTTGTTCTAGATACTTTTTTCAACATAAGTTTTTATTAATTTGCTCTTCTTTTTGACAAGTATCGAAAATTTAGATCTCGGGGTATAATTTTTATCTGCTTAAAATAATTGCAGATTACAGAATTCTTGACTGCAAATCACAAAATATAAACAGAAAGACATTATGCATTTTAAAGGATCGTTGCGAGAAATGTCGATAGATGGCGCTACAGTAGGGATTCTTTGAAAAGTTTGGAACACAAATGTAGTTTGAATCTAGTCGCAAAAGCAAAATGGAAATTTAATAAATCAAGTTTTAATTGACTTGTATTTCAAATTAAGCGCTTGTTTGCTTTGCAGTTCAGTTTAGGTACTGATTTGTTTTATCACTGGTGTATAAACTAGTAAACTAATTTAACGATTCAACCGAGAGGCTTGTCTCAATAATTGAGGAAAAACACGCAACAAGGGAACAAATGCCTACTCAAGGAAGAGAGCCAAAATGATTGTAAAATAGTTCAAATTTCTGAGTTTAATTATGTTTTGAATGAATTTTCAAATTTTGGAATTAAAAAAATAATTTTAAATAAAACATACTATTTTGTAAACGTAACAAATACCATTTGTTGCACAAAATTCATCTTACACTCTCCACCATTACAAATTTCTCATTTTATAAAGTACTTTTCAGGTAATCAATGTTAAATCTCACGCATGCAATTAAGCAGGGGTAGTCCCCCCTTTTCCATTTTTTCGTCCCTCTTTTTATGATGAATGACAGACATTCTGTGAAGTTTTCTTTAATTTTTTTCTTTTTTTTATTTAGCAAATTGTAAACAATAATTTCTGTTATGATCTTTAGACTAAATAAAGAAGAGCTTAAAATTTTTATGTAAATAAAGCATTATTTTTAAATAAATGCCTTTAATGTGATGCAAACAATCAGTTAATTACTCCTTGTAATTGCACTTTTAAACTTAAATTAGTTATCCATTTGGGAAAAGATATATGAAACGATAAGAGAATAATTATGTGAAAAACACAGTGTCATAATATACGGGTTTGAAACATGGAGCTTTTAAACAATTTGAAGTGCTTATCTGTATTTTGATGTAACTGATATAATAACTAAGATTTTACATTAAATTAAAGGTAATAATTAAATTTTATATTTAAAATGTCTTACAAAAATTTTAAAAAATAAGGCAGGAGACTTAGAATGTCGTTTCATTAAGTTTTACTATAATTTAAGTAATAGTAAATAGTGTAGTAAAAAAAAGAAAACCTCGTTATTATGTGCTTTTTCATGCAAGTTAAAAAATTTTTTCTCACTAAAACAACTTAAATCAATAATTACAAGGAAATTAAGCTCAAAAATTATTATAACCAAAGATTAATTATTGTTATTTTGTTACTTCAATGAAATGTAGGAGAAAAATAAAATACTTGTATGTCCATTAGCAAAATTTATGAACAATTACCTTAGAAATAACAGCAAGCAGATAATATAAAATAGCATTTGTGCAACGTGGATGCGAAACGGCTATTTGTAAATATATATATATATATATATAAATTATTATTAACTAACTTTGCAGCAATTGCGCAAGTAATAATAACTTGTATTCGCACTAAATGGATTTAAGTTCATACAACATTATATATATATATATATATTGCGTACGAGTAAAGTTTGACTAGTAGTCTTTTAATGCATATGACTTAAAAATGATTTCTTTTAATTATGCTAATGTTATAACTGTTTGTAAACATCACTGCATGGAAGTCGTAATATCAAAATACTATTTAGTAGTATATTGTTTCAAATGACTTATTTCATTGCATTAATTATAAATATAATTAAAAAGAGAAATCAAATATGTTATTTAGAATTAAGCAAAATTCAGCCTTAAATAAAGGTGGTATGGTGTAAACAGAATGTCTTCGTGTTTTAGCTCATGTCAGTTTCCTTCGAAATGCACATAATTTTTTCGATAAAGAGAACATAAATATAAGGTTAAACCTTATTACTTCAAATTTCAAACTGGCAAGCAGTTTCATGGTAAAGCATTATTTTTAGGTTATTATTTATCAGAAGCAATTAATAATGCATTTTACCACGCATTAAAGATAATTTTCGAACATCTGTGCTACAAGTAGTCAGCTTAGAGGTAGCGTTCGTTGTCAGTAGCTTCTCAAAAAAGCGTAATATGTCGGAATTACGACGTTTCTTATAGAAAATATTCTACTGCAATTTTAGAAGGAAATTACATGATACTACAAAAGCGACGCCTTTATTTCACCAAAGAGATGAATAATGCACTCATTCACCACTCGTGGTTAGTTACGCGCCAAAAGTTTCCCGCCAAGTGGAAAAATAGTGCTTTTTAATATTCATGTCTTAAAAAAAAAATAGCAGTGTTGGTTTATGTGAAACTTGAACATATTTGACAAAACTTGCCTAAAGTTTGATTATTCATTCATTTCCCTCGTTGGATACTCTCGATTTGTATCCCTTTTCCGCGCCTTTATTTCCCCTCCATTCTCACGCAAACCAAGCTACTAAATGCTGTCAATCAACGGACGCCATTTGCTTTGCACGATTCTCGGTCACGCCTTTCGCTGGCACATCCTCCAATTCGAAGTCCGAAAGCCGTCACATGACTGACGTAACCGGCTGACGCACAGGTTTCGTATAGCCCGGGCTATAGGGGATATTTTCGACTCGCAACATTTTGGCGCTGTGCTTTCAGTGCGGCGCTTGACTAGATGCTGCGTGTAGGTAGCTGTGCGTTTTAATTATTACACAAAGGAACAGATCTTAATATTTTATTTTTATACTGCTTTCTTATTTTATACTTATCCTGTGATGCCTGCTAGTCTGTTCAATGAAATGGAGCGCAACGGCATGCCTTTTCGAAGGTCAAAGATTGTACGACTTAGCGTTGGAGATGTCTATGATTGATCTGCACAACGGAAATGAGTCTTTAAGTAATTCCTACGATGGAGAGCCCAGGAGCAAAAAAAGCCAAAATACGACGGAATGTGTACCCGTCCCAAGCTCTGAGCACGTTGCGGAAATCGTAGGAAGGCAAGGTAAAAATTAATTGAAAATATTTACCAAAAAGTCTCGAGTTCTTTGTTCTCGCCAGCGCCAGTCGGATCTTTTCTTTGTTTGGGTTGACATCCGGTCGCTTTCTTTGGCGCTGGGATTATAGCCTAATTTTTAATTTCTGCTTTTGAGTTTAAAAAGCATTAAAAATTTTGAATTATTGTATATTAAATATTTTTAATAGTATTAAGATTTTTGAATTAAAATTCACCAAAATATGCTTTTGTTTAAGATTTATATTGGTCTTTATGTAATAGTTAATGTGCTTTTTCGCACAGAAGAGAAACCTCATATTGTGTGAAGTATGTAAGAAATCATTTAATATGAAAAATCATATAAACATGCATATGCGTGATTACACAGGAGAGAATCATTAGCGGAAGTATCGAGCTAAACTAAGTTTCAGTCAAAGTTCAGATTCATAGAATACAATGTTGCTGCTTGCCAAGACAAAGCCTCTTTTATTGCAGTTATCATTTTACGTGGAAATTGGAAATATTAACATAATTTAATTCTTAAAAATTTTAGTAAATATTGAGCGTTTTTACAACGGCAAATTTTAGGTAGTTTGAAAAGAAAATTATTTTAGTTGCCGAGAGTATTTTTATTGCTATAAAATTCTGATATATGTATGTCTCATTTATTGCAGAATAGGTACTAAAGTGGCTGTGTGTGTGTAGAGTGTTTAGTTATTAAATGTGTTAAAATTTTTTTTAAACGGTTTTGCTAATCGTGCAACTGCTAGCTGGCTAACATAAGTTTTAGAAATTGTTTCGAATAATTGGTGAAATACTAGTTTTGTTGATATTGTGGAATGTAATTAGTTACATTTTAAGTTTTTTTGGCTATAATTGTATGAGTAAAGTTGACTTTCTAGCTTACAGATTCATTATTAAAATTTTCTTGAGATTGTCCGAAATAAAAGAAAATTCCATAAGTAAATAATTTACGAAATACTGTACGTGTACTGAAGTAAGTTTGTAGGAAAATAATTATGAAAGATTTGTAGCGATATTACGATACATGCAAAGCGGTATTTTTCTTTTCCCAGTAAGTATAGAATATTATTACTGGGCTTAATATAATTTTTTAAAAGCTGATTAATTTCTTGGCAACACAGCTACCCAAAAGATACTTCATTGGAATTTTTAACTAATACTGTTTATGAATTAGAAATCTTCTATGTTGCAAAATAGGTTACTATCGACATTCTATTAATTAATTGTTTTACAGATGTTTCAGTGTTATTTTCCGAAATAAACCGAGTAAGCGCGTTTTAAATTTTGATATTAATTATCAAATGAATGATTGAAAACAACAGGTAGAACAAGTAGTTTGCTTAGTTTTCAGTTACTGAAGAGTAATTCTTAAATATAAGAATCGATTGCAAGTTTTTTTTCAATAGAGAATAATACTAAATGAGTGTATAGCAAATTTAAGTTGAAATCAGTGTGTAAAAAAAATTTTAAGTATATAATCTTCCATTATTAAATAGGATATTATAGTGCTAAAAAATTTTTAAGTCCACGCTGCTAATATTTCCTAAAAATTTCTCTAGTTAGTTCAGAAAGCATAAACAAGTTCGATTTAATCATATTTCCTTTGGGTAGCTCTCTGTTAGACCAAATAAAAAGTTCTTTTTTTAATGCTAAGGTGTTAAGCAAGTTAATCATAAATGAGAGCACAAATTCGTCTAAAAGACGCTTTTGGAATATTCTTCACGTTGGTTTTGGCGGGCTTTTCGAAGGTCATTGGTGAATGCTGTCGCTTTATCGCCATGTTAAAAATAATTTTTCCGTTGCTGTTCAAAATTCGGGATTTTTGCATTGTATTATTTCTCTGATTTGATTATTATTTCAAGGTATTCATATTCCCCATACTATATTTCTAGTTCCCAGAGCATTTATCACGGCGTCCCTGGGAAAAAACAAGTCTTATGTATAAATAAATACGGGTTAGTGAATTGTCTCCTGCTTTTGTTTAATTCGACCAGAGAAGTGCAGAAAATGAACTTTAATTGTGAAATGAAATATTTTATTCTCGAGTCTTTGCCTTATTACGATAAAACATTCGGTTAATAACATTGTATAAAAGCTAAGTTTAGGGCCGAAATTATTTATTTATGTATGTTTGTCATGACCGATGTAATCGAAATTTTAAATTAAGCGTTATTTTGTTTTATAAAAATTTATTATGTCATATCGCCATTTTTTTTTTTTTTTTTTTTTTTTTAGCCTTGCCCAGTGGGGTATGTTTCTCGCGCTGTGAAAAACAACGGTACCTACAGCCATGAAATTCTGAATAATGCAGTTCTCCCAATATGTGCGTTTTGAAAGCCCAAATTTGAAATTTGTTTTATTATCGATTTCGTATTTTGTAAATCTTTAACGAATTTTTGATTAACAAACTCAACGATTTCAAAGCAAGCAGTGTCAACACTGTGCGAAAAAAAAATTCTTATCGCCATCACTCGAGTTTGTGTATCCAAAATCTAAAGATATGTTCTTTTCAAAAATCATTTTGTGCTATTGCTGTTTGAATTGAATTTTATGGTTTAAGTGCGCAGAACATGATTTTTAGTAAAGGTAACACACAAAATGTTTAAAAAATGTCCCTTTTAGCATAAATATAAAATCTGGCTTTCAGGTTATTTAAAAATATTTTTTTTTATAAAGCTAGTGCTCCAAAAGCATGTATTTAGCCTCGTTTTTAAATGTGATCGAAAATTTCTGAAAATATTATTGTTTTTAAAATATTAACGTTTGTTAATTTTGAAAATATTTAAAATGAGTGCTAATAATTAATATTTGAAAAAAGAACGATTTTTAGTAGCGTATTTGTGACCGAAGCATGGTAGTAGTCGGTCACAAAAGCATGCAGTTCATTTTATGTGTCAAGAGAAAGAATTCAGAAATTCTAATTAATTTTAATAAGGAAATAGTGAAGGAATGAAATTGTGGGTTATCTTAGTTGCGTGGTAGATTTTTTTTTTAATCTTTACATTTCGGTACTCTTCTGTGATCGGGACCAGATTCAGAAATGTATGTATATGTTCAGGTAAGTACGTGTGTAAACACACATGTATGTACATTCATACACAAGTGCATGCATAAATATATTTGTGAATCTGCTCCCGATAACTGAAGAGTACTGTCATTTCCATTGTTTTGCATTTATTTATTCTAGCGTGTGATATTTAGATCTCGAATTTTTTAAACTTTTACAGTTCAGCATTTTTCTTCATTAGCAGTGGCATTTCTGAAATTAAAGGGGGAAAGAATTAAGTCTTGAGCTTTATTTACCGGTGCATTAATTTTCCTGGTTTTCTATTGTGATTTATATGTTAGTGAGTCGGGTTTCTTGTAGCGAGACTTGAACGATCTTTCGAATCACTGACGTGTTTTGTTAGCAGTTTTATAATTCAGTGTAGAATTAGCTGAAATTTGATTGCCAGCTTTTCAAAGCAGAGACCGAAGTTCATTAAGCTCGTTGCATATTTTGGGGCAGTTGTGATTGTGTTATGCATTTAGTATAGTAATTTATTTAAAAAGTTACCTTGTGTTTATTTTTATTTATTGCGGTGGGTAGGCGTATTTTCCAAATCTTAAAATTCAAATAAAAGTAAATCCAATAACCTTCTGTACTTTCATTTTGATTCAAATACGGCAACTTATTCTGAACAACAGAATTTATATAAAAGACCACCAGACCAAATGAGATGAAAGTTCTCATTGTCATTAATTTATTAGTTGTCCATTATTATAATGATATATCAGTATTTTACGTGGGAGTAGTGAAAAAGCATGTATGCGAATTCATGCTATTGAGTGTAGTTTTATGGCACTCAAGATTGAATTTCATTCCCTTCTAAGAACACCAATGTTTTTCTTCATTTAAGTAGGTTAATTCGTCTAGATTGCTATTTTATCAAAGTGGCGCCTTCTTGACAGATATTGACACGCAAAGAGATTGACGAGTTTTGTAGCCGATGCTGATAAATCATAACTCCCAACTGCTCGCACTAAATATTAACCTTTCACTTTTTGAGTCAGTTTTAATTGTCACTATACATATAAAATGTGCTGTTGCTGAAAGATTTAATCCTTAAGCGGAAGATAGTCCTTTCCTTTTATGCCTACACGTGCAAGATATTTAACAACGAAGTATCGGAAAAATTCTTAGTTTTCAGATATACCGTGTTTCAAAAAACGACGTAAAAACAGAATATCCGGAAAAAGTTACTAGAGATTAATTCTTACTTTTAGCGCTATTTTCCTTTTGGAGATAAAATTGCTGTTGGTTATTATGTAATTAGGAACATAGGTATTTAGAGTAACAGGAATATAACAGCTGTTATTTTCTAAATAAAGTTGCCCAGTGAAGCGGATAACGGAAATAAATGATTGCTGATTTAAAATTTATCTTTTGATACTTGTTTTTGGAATAAAGTGTTAAAATTTGTAGGTCTTGAGCAGAGATCCGTACGAAGTAAAATGCACATATTCAAGCGGCAGTGTACTGCAAGTCACTATTATTAAATATTTTGTAATGTTTGAATAACCTGGATCGACCTTTTGTTGCGCATGCGGAAACTCGTTTACACGATTAAATTTGTCGTTGTGAGCTTTAAGTACTACCTTTATTATCATTATTTTCAAGCTGTCCCAGAGAACGTGTATGTAAAGAAGGAAAGCTTCCATAGATGTTAAAGTTTTACTGCTGTTCCGCTATATCGTGGAGGGACAAGTTCTCATCCCTAAATTGCCGTACAAGAAATTCGGAAATCCCGTGAATAAACTTCGTACAGAAGAAAATTAAGGAATATGGTACAAAACCAAAGAATTAATTCTTTAAGAGAACATTTCCCGTTTATATTAACACGGATTTTCGTAATTTTTTTTTTTTTTTTTTTTAAATCCATTCATTAATTGACTGGCGCAGACCTTTGATTTGATTTACGTCGATAGGGCGGGAAAAAATGGCG